CCATTAAAGCCGACCATCGGGCCGCTGGATTGTTCTAAGTCGTCAGGGTGAAGGCCCAACTCTTTGTAACATCTGACATACATGATGTCACAAGAGCTGCCTTGATCTATTAGGATGCGTTTTACTTGGCACTCCCCAACCTGGAGGGATACTACCAAGGCATCATTATGCGGATGTTGGACCAATTCCAGGTCGGCTTCAGTAAAGGCTATCATTGGCCCTTGGCATTCTTCTGGCCGATGTCTCTTCTCCCCGACTTGGTAGACATGCTGTAAATGTCTTACCCTCTGGGTCTCCCCTCTGACTTCGTTTTCGTTGACCCTTGAGTGGATCACATTAACTACTCTTGGTCCTCCTGCTTGTGGTGGCTGTGCTGGGGGGGGGCGGCACCGCTGCTGCTTGAGGCAACTTTGCCTGTTCTTCCCTTGTCCTGGCTTCATCGACCAGGTCCCTTAAAAGGCCTTGTCTCACCAGGTCCTCCAAGTGTGCTTTTAAGGCTCTGCAACCTTGAGTTGGGTGCCCTTCTTCATTGTGGTAGGCACAACGTCTACCAACGTTCCTTCCCATGAATTCCCCTGGTGCTCTTGCCGGAGCCCTGAAATAAGGTTGGTTTCGAATTTGATCTACGACTTTATGAATTGGGATTCGGAATACCGTCGTTACCGCCTGTTTACTTCTCAACTCTGTTTCTTGTTTGGTCGGCCCATTGTTGCCTCGGCCTCGCTTCGGCGAGCCGTTTCCCTTTTCTTGCTTTACCTCTTTGTTTCCCGATGTATCTTCTTCGGCTCTGGCGTATTTCTCAATTCTTGCCATGAGTTCTTCCATGCTTTTTGGCAATGTTTTTGCCAAAGATTTCCGTAGTGGGCAGTCATCTTTCAGGCCGTTCTTGAAAGACACGACCGCTACCTCTTGGTTGCATTCGGGTATTCGGTTGAATACCTCGTAGTATCTCTTCGTATAGGCCCTAAGGCCCTCTTCCTTGGTGATTCTTAGAGCCATCAAAGCATCAACCCTCAGGGGCTGCAGCTTGTTGGTCACGAACCTGGCCACAAACATCTCGACCAGGCCTTCCCATGTCTTTACACTTCCCTTTAGTAATTTATGGAACCAATCAGATGCAATTTCCCCAAAGGATGAGGGGAAAACTTTGCAGAGCAACGGCTCGTTCCCGCTATATAATGCCATTGAATTCAGGTATAGTCCAACATGAAAGTTTGGATCTGACTTACTATCATAAATTTGAAACCTCGGCATACTGAATCTCTTTGGTGGTTCGAATTTGTCCAGTTCCACCGAGAAGGCTGCTTTTGGTTTTACTGGGGAGTTTACCTCGGCTTCAATATTTTGCTGTCTTTTTTTGAGGTAGTCCCTCAAGTCTTCTTTGCTCCTCCCTGGAGCTCGGCTGTCTTTGGACTTTAGTCTTTTTGGTACACTGCTTTCGGCCTCGTGGTGGGTCCGTTTGGATCTTTCTGCATGGGTTGTGTCAAAGCAGAGTGCTTGCCCTCGAACATGCCGATGCTCTTTGGGTTCTGGATTCTTCATGTGGTGCGTCCTTTGGGACTCTTCTTGTCTCGGCTTTTCTCGTCCGACTTCCCTGGAAGGTCGGTGAGAATGCCTTCCGCTCCTGGTATGCTGAGGGACCTCGGGGATTGTTTTTCTTCCGCCCTTCTGGGTGTTGGTTGCTGGCATTGGTGTATCTTGCAGCGGGTATGGTGGCTGCATAACATTATTCTGCATCATAAAGTTGACGACTGACTGAAGGTCTGCCAACTTGTTTGCCAATTCTTTTACCTCCTCATCCCTCCGTAGGCACCTGTCCCTCCATACCTGGAGGTTATCTTCATTGTAGTACTTTCCTTGGTCTTCCTTCTTTGATGTGTCACCCTCTTGGATGATGTTTTGCTCTCCGTGACCCTGGTCACGGGTTTTGGTATTGTGGTTGTCTCCTTCAATGTCAAGATCAATTGGTCTGCCACTCCCAGCGGGAGCGTCTTCCTTAATCCTTTCTTGCTGTCCGTTACTAGCCATCTATTCTTCCTTCGATTCCCACAGACGACGCCAAATTGTGTGGGTGAAAATCTGACCACACTACCCGCTTAGAGATCAACTGGAGAGCACAGGCAGAATAGATGGCTTCAGCAACCTGTAACAGAAAGAAAAAGGCTCCGGCGGTGGTTCTTCCACCCGGGGGCACTCCGACGATCAAGTCAGTATATCTCTCAAAGATAATCAAGTGCAAAACTTAATACTCAAAACATAAATTGCATACCTTAGACCCACGTATTTATTTAGAATTTTATTCCAAAAATCAAATTATGAAAATAAAACAATATATATATATATTTGAGTTTTTTTTTTTTTTTTTTTTCATAACTCAATATCCAACCTAATGAACCGATTAATTTGAGTACCAATCCTACCGTTCGCTAATTGGGAGTTCAATTAAAGCCAAATAAAACTTCATATAGACTAGTCTCAAAAAATTATTCACATATAAAAGATTTTGAACTAAAAACTAAACTTTAGACCTAAGTCTTGACCACCAAACTAATCCCTTTGGTTTCATTCAACGTTGTTTGGGACCACCGAACCATTTAAATCACTTCTCAACATTATCTGCCCCGCACTTGGAGCAAGAAACTTGTAATTAGATGCTGACTTGATTTTTTTGGGTCTGGGGATCACTCTTTCGAAAAATATTAAAATATACAAAAAAAATAAAATAAAATTATATAGGTAAATTTTTGTAATTTTAAAATATAGTGATGTTCTTTTCTTGTGTCAAAAGAAAAAAAGGAAAAAAATAAAATAAAAGTGATATGCTTTCTTGAAAAAAAGAAAATCAAATGAAAAGTAATTGGATTACAAAAAGAGTGGAAAATTAGTTATCTGGTAAAAAATTAATTTTTTTTCTTTGGTTATACATTGAAAAATATGTATATGCAATTTTAAAAATTTGTTTTACTTTTTGGGCCAGGATTGGCCACGATACATGGTTAGGACATTCTACTTTGTTAGGTAGAGTTAGGGGTATAAAAATGGCCCGCCAGCCTAAACCCCGCTAGAGGCTCGGCCTAACCCGAACACCCCGAGCTAAAGCCTAGGACATGCTTTTTCTGGCTCGCAGCCCAACCTGTCTAACGCCCAACGTCATTTTCAAGTTATTTTGGTGAAAAAAATAAAAATAAAAAAAACGTAGGGCCTAGCCCTCCGTCCCAAAGCTCAATTATTGCCTAAGCCTGAGCTTGGGCCTGGGTTTGATTTTTTGAAAACTGGGCAGGTTGGCTTGGTTCGATTTTTGGCGAGAGCTCGATAGGCCCAAGGGCAAACTGACCCGAGCCCGAGCCTATACGGTCAGGGCCAAGCTGAATTTACACGCCTAGGTAGAGTGTGTATTGAGACTTCTCATAGCTAAGAATACCATATGACAATATTATACGATATCCCCAAAATATCAATTTGTATGACAAGTTTGTAATTTATAATTTTTTTTGTAATAATAAATTTTTTTTATAGACAATGAAATTTTAACCTCGAAATTTGTTTTAAAATAATTAGATTTATCAAAAGGAAATGAAATTATTTATTCATAATATTTTTTATGAATAAACAAAAAGTGAGATTTGATTTTATTGACATATACAACTTCTATAGATTGGGTTGAAAAGCAGGATTATTATTATTTTTAATTGACAATTCATTTTCATTTTATTTTTTTAAATCCAAAGAAGAAGAAGAAAAGTTGAACTTCTAGGTCATTTTCTTTCCATGTAATTTTCTTTTTTGTTTTTTTCGCTCACAAATCTCATATCCAAAACACAACCTAATGAAGTGTTGGTTTTTATTGATTTTATGAAAATTTAACTTTTTGTTTTTCATTTTTTTTTTATTTTTAGTTAAAATAAAATTTTTTACTTTCTAGTTGCACATAACTTAGATACACCTAAAAAGTAAAATGTTTGTAAAAAAAATTTTAAAAATTCAATACATACACAAAAATACAAAAATGTACTGAATTCTCAATCTCTTTCTCTCTATCACTCTTTTTGTGTTTGAGTTAGCTAATGTGTGTTTGCTTTGATCTGTTTGTATGTTGAACAAATAAGAAAGGCGCTTGTGCTTTGATCTGTTTGATTCAGTCCAAAAGAATGTCCTTATATATGTGTGCATGTTCAACAAAAAAAAAAAAAAAAGTTAAACAAAGTTCAATAGATAAGAAAATGCTCAATCTGTGCTTTTTGCTTTGATTTGTTTGAACAAATAGAAAAAATAGGTTATAAAAATTCAACAGATAAAAAAAATTTCAACAGATAGTTAAAAAATTGAATAGATCAACACCTTGGTAAAGGGAAATTTCAACAAATAGCAAAATTTTGAACAAAAAAGGGGAAAAAATTGAATAGATAGTCAAATTTTTTGAACAAATAGATATAAATTTGAACAGATAGTCAAAAAAAAATCAACCGATAAATTAAGGAATAAAATTGGAAACAAAATGTCCTCCAAAACCAACAAAAAAAACTTCTCACCAAACTATTTTACAAAAGGTGAATCTCTCACCAATAAAAAATATCAACTGGACTTAATGTCATATATCCTCTTTAAATTGGATTTATCCCCAAATTTCTCCTAAAATAATGGGAGGAAAAAAAATATGCAATTCGGATTTAACTCGGGTCGGGATTAAGTAGACAACCTTGGTTTACAATTCGGGCTTGGGCAAACTTGGGCAGCTCTCAACATAACTTGGGCTGCGCTTAAATAACCTTTCAACCTATCTACACTAGTCCGAATTGCACCCCTAACTAAAAGAGTTCAACAAACAATCTCACAAGTTCAATCCTCAAGAAGTTGGAATGCTAAGGTCTATAATTGAACTTGAATTGTCAACAAACAAAATCATAGGTTCAATCCCTGCTTCTATAGGGAACATGACCAACTTGACCATTCTATACCTTTATGAAAACCAACTTTTTGGATCCATCCCCTAAGATGTTGGAATGCCAAGGTCTCTAATTGAACTTGATTTGTCAACAAACAATCTCACAGGTTCAATCCCTGTTTCTATAGGGAACTTGACCAACTTGATCCCCCAAGATATTGGAATGCTAAGGTCTCTAATTAACCTTGGTTTGTCGAAAAACAATCTCACAGGTTTGGTCCCAACTTCTATGGGGAACTTGGCCACTTTAGCCATTTTACACCTTTTCAAAAACCGTATTTTTGGATCCATCCCCCAAGATGTTGGAATGCTAAGGTCTCTAATTAACCTTGATTTGTAACAATGTCACAGGTTTGGTCCCTACTTCTATAGGGAACTTGGCCACCTTAACCGTTTTACACCTTTTCAAAAACTGTATTTCTAGACCCATCCCTCAAGAAGTTGGAATGCTAAGGTCTCTAATTGAAGTTGAATTGTCAACAAACAATCTCAAAGGTTCAATCCCTACTTCTATAGGAAACTTGACCATTCTATACTTTTATGAAAACCAACTTTCTGGATCTCCCAAGATGTTGGAATGCTAAGGTCTCTAATTGAACTTGATTTGTCAACAAACAATCTCACAGGTTCAATCCCTGCTTCTATAGGGAACTTGACGAACTTGACCATTCTATACCTTTATGAAAACCAACTTTCTGGATCCATCTCCCAAGATGTTGGGATGTTACGGTCTCTAATTGAATTTGATTTGTCAACAAATAATCTCACAAGTTCAATCCCTGCTTCTATGCGGAACTTGACCAACTTGATCATTCTATACCTTTATGAAAACCAACTTTCTGGATCCATCCCCCAAGATGTTTGAAGGCTAAGGTCTCTAATTGAACTCAGTTTGTCAACAAACAATCTCACAGGTTCAATCCCTGCTTCTATAGGAAACTTGGCCAACTTGACCATTATATACCTCTATAAAAACCAACTTTTTAGATCCAACCCCCAAGATGTAGGAATGCTAAGGTTTCTAATTGAACTTGATTTGTCAACAAACAATCTCACAGGTTCACTCCCTACTTCTATAAGAAACTTGGCCAACTTGACCACTCTATACATTCACAAAAATCGACTTTCACAATCCATCCAATATGATGTCGCCTACATGCTTGTCAATTGCTCTTTCTTCCAATGTCTATCTATTTCTCTCTCCTAAACACCCACCGCACCACCTCTCTATCTTCAAATCTAGACTTCGCCACCTCAGATCTGGACTCCATCGCTACCTCATATATGGTTGCTTTGCCTCCTCACCGTGGTGGATTTGACGTCAAATTTCGAACCCCAGCCCACCGGTGATAGTGGTCGAAAGACAAGTTGAGATCAAGAGACAGAGCAGTGGATAGTGGTAGAAAGTTGGTCTTAGCTTTGGAACCTTTGAGGGATCCAGCTACGCCGTTATAGGCCAATGCGGCTTCTTCGGGAGTGTCACCTCTACCTTCTCAAAGTTGTGGCCATTCAGTTTAATTTAAATTAATTTATTTTTTTGTTTTTGGATATGATGATTGATAAATGAAGGGTTAATGATTTTACAGTAGTGATTTGTAGGGGAGGTTTGACGTGGGGATGATTCAATGGATTCATCATCGCCGTCGATGGTTGTAGAGTTACGGTCAAATCTGAGTACGTGCGGTGGGACTCACAAAGCTCCATAGATAGGATTTCGTATTTCTTGTAGTTGGGAGAATCTGTGCACTTTGCTATTTTCTCGATCTCTTTCTCACTATCACTCTTTTTTGTGTCTAAGTTAGCTAGCGTTCCTTTGCTTTGATTTCTATACATGTTAAAAAGATAAGAAAGAGGTTTGTGCTTGATTTGTTTGATTCATTCTAAAAGCATGTCCTTATATTTGTGTGCATGTTCAACAGATAAGGAAATGTTCTATAGATAGAAAAAAACTAGTTTAAAAAATTCAACAGATAAGAAAATGTTCAATCTGTGCTTTTTGCTTTGATCTGTGCTTTGATCTATTTGAACAAATAGAAAAAATAGGTTATAAAAAATCAACAAATAAAAAAAATATTTTAATAATTAGTTAAAAAAATTGAACAGATCATCGCCTTGGTAAGGGAAAATTTTAATAAATAGCAAAAATTTCAACAAATAAGAGAAAAAAATTGAACAGATAGTCAAAAAAAGTCAACAAATAAAAAAAAGCTAACAGATAAATTAAGAGGTAAAATTGGAAACAAAATGTCCTTCAAAAATAATAAAATGACTTTACACCAAACTATTTTATAAAGGATAGATCTTTCACTAATGAAAAAAAATATCCACTGGACCTAATGTCTTATACCCTCTTTAAATTAGATTTATCACCAATTTTCTCCTAAAAAAATGGGGAAAAAATCAAATATATATATATATGTGCAATTCGGGTTTAACTCTCGGGATTGAGCAGACAAGTTACAATTTGAGTCTGGGCAAGCTTGGGTAGCTCTCAGCATAACTTGGACTAAGTTTGGACAATCTCTCAATCCAATTTTCTCCTAAAAAAATGGGGAAAAAAATGTGCAATTCAGGTTTAACTCTTGAGATTGAGCAGACAATTTCGAGTTACAATTTGAGTCTGGGCAAGCTTAGGTAGCTCTCAACATAACTTGGATTGGGTTTGGACAATCTCTCAATCCATCCGAACTCATTCGAATTGCACCCCTAACTTAAAGAAAAATTAGTGTAATTATGTTAACTTTGTGAAGTTAACTATATATTTTTTAAATCTTATGAAAGGTGAGTGTAAATTACCCTAAAAAACTATTCATAATTTCAGATTATTTTTAAAACAATTTTAGAGTTCGAATTTCATTGTCCAAATTTTATTTTTTATTTTTTAATTTTATACACACAAATTTAGAGGTACTTACTGGCCGGTCCCATGGAAGTAAGTTAATACTGGCCATGTCCTGTCCTATTTTCGTTTTCAATTTTACCCTTCAATATCACACCACGCGCGTGAAGCAAGAAGTTGCTCATGAGCTCTCCCCTGTGACTCCCTTGTATGTTGTCTTCCTTTTGTTCCTTATATAGTGTTCCTTTTGTCCTCTCATACTCACATGCATACACACTCACTCCCTAATTCACAAAAACACATCTACACACTTACTAATTCACAAAAACAAATTCACAATAATTTAGTAGTGATAAATTTATCGCTTATAAAATGTTATCTGTGATAAATTTCATACTCACATACATACAAGCTCACTTACTAATTCACAAAAGCAAAATTACAAAAATTCAACAGTGATAAATTTATCATTGGTTTAAACAAATTTATAACTGATTTATCACTAGTTTAAATAAATTTATCACTGATTTAAACAAATTTACAGATTTAAACAGATTTCACCATACAAATTATCGCAATCCCAACGTGGACAATCTTACCATCCTTGCGTAGCTCGGTCGAGCACAACTAGAAACTCGCCGGAAATCATCCATGTGTAGCTTGGCGATGGTGGACTACGACGGTTGTAGATCTAGATTTTGTAGTGAACATTCTCCTTGAATGCGGCGGCGATGGTGGTGGATTTCTCTCTCTCTTTTTCCCGCCAGCCATCCATGGCGTAGATATGCTCAACTTCTCAATTTCTGGATCTGGATTCGTAAATCTAGCTTCTTCTTCTTCGATCGGACCATCTATGGTGTCGCCGACAGTCCACCAAGCAAACATATGTTTCCTCTCACAGCCATCTCTCTCTCTTCATTTTTCATCTCCAGATCTGAGTATAAAAACATGAGGACAAAAATGGAATAAACAAAAAAGTTTAGAACTTATAGGCAAAAGAGTCTCCATTAAGGACTTGTTGGGTAATAACTCTTGAAAATAGGACTGCTTGTAAAAATCCCACAAATTTATCGAGAACTTTAGGCAAGAAATTTGTGGTAATTAGATGCTGCGGACTGACATCATTGGGGCCCTAGGGGTCATTTTTTCAAACTTTAATAAATCACGGAGCGTTCAGAGTGGAGGACCTTTCTCTTGGAATTGTGTAACAACCCTCATACTGTTTACTGATTAAGGACTGATTGATTACCGATAATCACCGATTACTGTTAAACGAAACGGATAATGACTGATAATTGACTGATAATTGAACTGATTAAAAGTACTGAACTGACTGACTGAAACTGGAAACTGAATTGACTGAGTATATGTTAGTTAATTGCATTCTATCTGTTTGATTGTCTGATTATCTGTTCATGTTTATATGTTTAAACTGCTAATTGAAGGCCTTATCGGCGGCCGAATTAGAAACCGATTGATGTTCCGTGACCCTCATAATTAATGTGATTTTATGGTATATTTATCTGAAAACTGATTAGGTATGATTAAATTAGATTAAAAAATATATATATATATATATATATATGTATTAATTATGGCAGAGCGGAGTGGTTTTGAAAATGGATTATAAATTTTTAAATTTAATTCACAGTTAGCAAATAGAGCGGTACGGATTGATACGGATCGATACTCTTTTAGTAGATTGGACGGTATTTTACACAATCCTAATGGTGGGAGTGGCACTAAAATTGCAGAAGAGTGATCAAAACTCGTCAATAGGTCTTTTCTTTTTAACATAAAAAATAAAAAAAACGCTTCGTGGGGTTATCATAGCATCCGTGAGCCTTGGTCCCAGGATAATCGATTACCGGCCAAATTTAACCTAATTCAAACGAAAGGATCCACCACTAGAGTAAGCAGGGAATGTATAAATCTCCAGCTTAGGAGATAGAGTTACGAGTGGAGAACAGTACAGTTAGTTTTACCAAATAAAATGAGACGCTAGTTGTGCCTCCGAAAAATCAAGCCTTACTCGCCTATGTAGAAGGGCAGCGCATTTTCACGCCGCCGCCACCCCCGATGGTATCAACAAGTTGTTGAATCACTTCAATGCATCATTAGAGGTCAATCCACCAACTACTGGTAGCTAGAAGATTGTAGTGGTGGCGGCAACTAGCAGTGACAAGTAACTAAATGCAGTAAAAGAAGAAAAAATTGAAAATTTATTTGAAAAATAAATGACTTTTTTATTTTCATTTTTAAATTTTTTTGAAATAGAATCTAATTTTATGAAAATGAAAACATAAAAACAAAAATATATCGAAAAAATTTAGTTTTAAATTATAAAAAATAAAAACAAAAAATGAAAGTATAAGGAATGACCCAAAAAAAAGGTGTTTTTGCCCGTGTGTCACGGTTTACTACCCTTTCTACACGCCAAATGAGAAAGACTTACTAGAATATCAAACAGATTGATGTGTGTGGACCTAAGCAATTCATGAAAAACATTAGAAACTTGCAATTTTAGATTTGTAAATTTATGTACAATAATCTAGTAGGAGAATTTGGTCCTATGTAGTTAATGTGTGACAAATTAAATATTAATATTATTGTGTATTATTATTATTATTATTTTTTTTGAGATATCAAATTGGGGCCCACCACAAGTTTCACTTTGATGATTCTAACTATTCATTTTTTATGCCACATCGTGTTGACTATCTATGAAAAAATCAGATCAATCCGATAACTATAGTGACGTTTGTTTATGACATTTATTTGAATAAAAATGAACGATAAATATTATTTGAAAATTAAACCATCTATTTTTTGAGAAACAAATACAACAAAATAACATAACTTTGGTTATTGGATCGACTTCATTGTTTTTGGTGATAACAGTTTCAACAATGCTACATCCCCCTAATTTATTAACCGTAAATGACCCATAATGATGTGGTATTGAGGTTAGACCTCACATAATGGAAAATTTGACAAATTAAAATTTGATACTTGTCAGACATATCATTAGGAGTATAAATCCAGAAGCCTATTGATTGACCATAGATGCGAACCGATTGACCGCTATTTAAGAGAAGATAAGTAGTTCTTCTATTGTTCAAGGAGTGATAAATTAAGTGTCTCAAGTATTTTTCTAACACTTTTCAACAGCCTCCTAAAAGAAAAATGTTTGAGACACCTAGTTTATCCCACCTAAAAATCATCCCTAATGATGTATCTGATAAGTGTCAAATTTTGATTTGACAAATATTTCATCACGTGGGTTCTAACCTCAATGCCACATCATTAGACCTCAATGCCACATCATTAGAGGTTATTTAGAGGTGATAAATTAGAGGGATGTAATATTGTTGCTCCTAAAATTGTTGGAACAATATTTCTAGGAATATGTTTGGTTTTAATTTCAGAATTAATAAAAATTAGTTTGATAAAAGTAAGCAATAAAATGATATCTTTAAATTTCTAAAATTATTTTCATTCCAAAATAAAGGTAACACTACTTGAAAATGAGTGTTTTTTATTTTTATTTTTTTCATTAAATTAAATTAATTTTTCTTTTTCTTTTTTTAAATAAAGAGGGATTTATTTATAAATCCTGTTGAGAGTATTTCCAGCCCAACAAGTTCACAAAGTATTCTTGTAGCCTAATTAATCCTATTTATTTAGTCTTTGATTCCAAAAAATAGATTATGAAGATAAAACAAAAAAAAAATTATTAGACATTGTTGTGTGTTTTTTTATTATTTAGTTTTAATAACTCAATATCCGACCTAATAGACTATCTAATTTGGGGAATCAATCCAACCATCCGCGAATTGGGAGTTCAATAAAACGCCAGGGAAATCTTTACATAGATTAATCTCAAAAAATTATTCGCAAATGAAAGATTTTGAGCCAGAAACCAACTCTAAATCTAAGTCTTAATCACCAAGTCAACCCATTCGGTTTCATTCACGTTGTTTGGGACCAGTGAACCATTTCAATCACTTTTCAACATTAATCTGCCCCGCACTTGGGGCAAGAAACTTGTAATTAGATGCTGACTTGATTTTTTTGGGTCTGGGGATTACTATTTTTGAAAAATATTAAAATATTCTAAAATAAAATAAAATTATAAAAAAAATTTACTTATAAATCTCATCTAAGAAATGATGATCTGCTTCGTTCAAAGAATTTTTGTTACAGACCAATTACTCCTATTGATTTTGAAAAAGTAGATTTAATATATTATTTGAAAATTAGATTTACAATTATACACACTTTTTTTCTTCTTATTTATTTATTTTTTTTTTTTCTCTCTACTAGAAAGGTATGATACACAACCTATAAGAATTAAATTTGAGATAAATTTTTATATGAAAATATTTTTTATTTGGAATGACTTGAAATGCAAGATTTTTCAAACGTTTCAAAATGAGTATAAAAATGACTTGAAATATGAGATTATTTAAACATTTCAAAAAGAGTACAAAAACTCGTTAGTAAGATTTGGGCAAATGTATAATTCAAACTGTAACACTCCAATGTAACATTCAAACATAACACTCTAATGTAACACTAAAAAAAAACTTCTTAATGTACATTTTCTAAACATAACACTCCAATATAACACACAAAAAAACTCCTTAGTGTATTTTTTTTTAAACGTAACACTCCAATATAACACTCTAATAAAATGATGTAGGACTTTTCAAATCATTTCAAAAGGATGTGGGATTCTTCAAACCATTCCAAAAGGAGTACAAAAATTCCTTAATAAGTTTTGGACAAATGTATAATTTCAAATTGTGAGTGTTACCTTTGAGAAAAGTGTACTAAGAATTTTTTTAGTATTTTTTGTGTGTTACATTTGAGTATTATGTTTGGGATTACATTGATTAGAGTGTTACGTTTGGGATTACATTAATTTGAGTGTGACGTTTGGGAAAAGTACACTAAAGAATTTTTTTGTGCATTAAATTGGAGTATTACATTTGAAAAAAGTACACTGTGGAGTTGTTTTGGATTGTTACATTGGGAAAAAAATATACTAAGGAATTTTTTAATGAGTTACATTGGAGTGTTACGTTATTAGAATATTACATTGGAATATTACGTTCTTATCCGTAATGTAGGATTTGTTCATGGAGGGTAAATCAAAAATCTCTATAATGCAAATTGCCCAAATATGTAATTTCACATTTGGAGAAATCCACTTTTATTCCTAAAAAATTAAATTCAAACATATAAGTGACTACCATTTTGTGCAATTTTTACTTTAATGGAACTTTTGGGTTTATAAAAAAAAAGAAAAAAAAAAGAGAGGATTAAATAATTTACAAATCACATTTTGGGATTTATTAGTGTTTCATCCAAAATTAATAGGTAACATTTTTGTAATTTTAAAATATAGTGCTGTTCTTTTTTGTGCCAGAAGAAAAAATGAAAAAAGAAAAGAAAAGTAATAGGCTTTCCTGAAAAAAATGAAATGAAGGTCGGATTACAAAAATATAAGAAAATTAGTTGTTTGCTAAAAAATTAATTTTTCTTTGGTTATTCATTAAAAAATATGTATATGTATATGTAATTTTAAAAATTTGTTTTTCTTTTTGGGTCGGGATTGGCCACGATACATGGTTAGGACATTCTAATTTGTTAGGTAGAGTCAAGGAGTGTAAAAATGATCCGCTGGCCTGAACTTCACTCGAGGCTCAGCCCAACCCAAACTCCCTGAGCTAAACCTAGGCCATGCTTTTTCTGGCCGCGGCCTGGCCCGCTCGACGCCCAACGTCATTTTGAAATTATTTTGGTGAAATTTTTTTTAAAAGAAAATGTCAACTTGACTCTCCAGCTTGAAGCCCTAGGATTGGGCCTGAGTTTGATTTTTTGAAAACTATGTAGGTCAACTCTGTCTAATTTTTGACGGGGGGTTCAATAGGCTCGTGGGCGGGCCAACCCCAACCCAAACCCGACTCTATATGGTTTAGGCTGGGCCGAATTTACACCCTTAGGTAGAATGTGGATTGAGACTTCTCATTAGTTAAGAATACCATGTAACAATTTTATATGATATTTCCAAAATATCAATTTGTATGTGAAGTTTGTAATTTCAAAGTTTTTTGTATAATAAAAAATATTTTTATAGACAATGAAATTTTAACCTTGAAATTTGTGTTAAAATAATTAGATTTCTCAAAAGGAAATGAAATTATTTATTCATATTATTTTTTATAAATAAAAAAAGAAGAAGATAGATTTGATTTTATTGACATATAGAACTTCTTTAGATTGGGTTGAAAAGCAGGATTTTTTTTTCTTTTAATTGACAATTCATTTTCTTTTTATTTTTCCAAATCCCAAAAAGAAGAAGTAGAAGAAGATGACCACGAAGAAGAAAAGTTTAACTTCTAGTTCATTTTCTTTTCATGTAATTTTCTTTTTTATTTTTTTTGTTCACAAATCTCATATCCAGAACACAACCTAATGAAGTGTTTGGTTTTTATTGATTTTATGAAAATTGAGTTTTTTTTTTTTCATATTTTTTTATTTTTAGTTAATCTTTTTAATGTTTTGAATATTTTTTTTTTACTTTCTAATTGCACATAACTTAAATGCACCTAAAAAATTAAATATTTGTGAAAAAATATTTTTAAAATTCAATATATACACAAAATATAAAAATGTACTGAATTTTTGTATGCCTTTTGTATTTTTTGTATTTGATATATTTTTTAAAGATTGTTTTTATAAAAGTATATTTTTTAAGTATATCTAGGTTAGGTGAATTTAAAAAATAAAAATAAAAATTCTTAAAATATTAAATTTAAAAAAAAATACTAAAAACATGAAACTCAAATTTTTTAAAAAGTGAGCTCAATTTTCTGAAACCAAACAAATCTAAGATCTTTGTTCAAAAAAAAAAAAAAAAAAAAAAAAAAAAAACAAATCTAAGATCCACACATAACCTAATTAGTATATGAGGAGCAGCTCTTAGTTGATCACTTCTGCAAATTTCAATAAGCACAAACTGTACATGGTTAAATCGCATCAGTTATTTTATTTTTTTATTTTTATTTTTTTTTATTTTACATATTGGTTATCACGAAATAATATAATATAATAATAATAATCATAATAATAATAATAATAAAATAATAATAATAATAATAATAATAATTAATCTAAGGACAGAAAACAACAACAAAAAATGGATTTGGTTACAGATAATAGACAGTAAAAGACTCGTCATGAAAAATAAATAAATAACTAAAGAAGAAGAACAGTTTCACTGGGAAATCTTTTTATAGGTGGTTTGATCAAATTGTGGCAATACTTCATATGTGATTATTCAATCAAACCAAAACTTGGAAAATTTACTTTAGATTTTTCAAACTAAACTAATTTTTCAACCAGTGGGGCAGTCCACTTTAGAATTGGGGCATTTTTTAATTTTAGTTATTTATGGTATTATCTATCTATAAATACTTATCCATGCTCTCAAAGAACTTCATGCCCTTCATCCCTCCATCCAAACAATTGTTCCTCATTGCTTGTAGTTACAAACCAACAATGTCAGCCTTAGCGGAGAGGCATTCCAACCAGTTTGTTTTGTTCCATGTCCTGTTTGTCTTTCTCATGATCCTTGAATTGGTCTCTTCTTTTAATTCTGCTACTTATGCTGCTTCTGCAACTACTAAAGTTGGAGAAGACGGAACTGAAGTTGCGGCTCTCTTGAGGTGGAAAGCTAGCCTTGACAACCAGAGCCAATCTCTCTTGTTCTCGTGGGCTGGAAGCAATCATTGCAATTGGGTTGGAATCGATTGCAATAATGCTGACAGAGTCACCCATATAGACCTTGAGAGTAATGGCTTGAGAGGTACACTTTCCAATCTTAACTTCTCTTCCTTCCCTCAACTCCTTAGCCTTAAACTTCATAACAACTCAATCTACGGGACCATCCCCTCGAAGATTGGTAGCCTTGTAACACTCACCTACCTTGACTTGTCCAGCAATTATCTTTCAGGAACAATTCCATCAGAAATAGGAATACTCTCTTCTCTCACAATTTTGTATCTTTATGATAATCAACTTTCTGGATCCATCCCTCAAGAAGTTGGAATGCTAAGGTCTCTAATTGAACTTGAATTGTCAACAAACAATCTCACAGGTTCAATCCCTGCTTCAATAGGGAACTTGACCGACTTGACCATTCTATACCTTTTCAAAAACCAACTTTCTGGATCCATCCCTCAAGAAGTTGGAATGCTAAGTTCTCTAATTAAACTTAGTTTGTCAACAAACACTCTCACAGGTTCAATCCCTGCTTCTATAGGGAACTTAGCCAACTTGACCATTCTATACCTTCATACAAACCAACTTTCTGGATCCATCCCCCAAGATGTTGGAATGCTAAGGTCTCTAATTCACCTTGAATTGTCAATAAACAATCTCATAGGTTCAATCCCTACTTCTATAGGGAACTTGACCAACTTGACCATTCTATACCTTTATGAAAACCAACTCTCAGGATCCATCCCCCAAGATGTTGGAATGCTAAGGTCTCTCATTGAACTTAGTTTGCAAACAAACAATCTCACAGGTTCAATCCCTTCTTCTATAGGGAACTTGACCAACTTAAACATTCTATACCTTTATAAAAACCAACTTTCTGGATCCATCCCCCAAGATGTTGGAATGCTAAGGTCACTAATTGAACTTGATTGGTCAGAAAACAATCTCACAGGTTTGGTCCCTACTTCTATAGGGAACTTGGCCACCTTAACCATTTTATACCTTTTCAAAAACAGTCTTTTTGGACCCATCCCTCAAGAAGTTGGAATGCTAAGGTCTCTAATTGAACTTGATTTGTCAGTAAACAATCTCACAGGTTCAATCCCTACTTCTCTAGGGAACTTGACCAACTTGACCATTTTACACCTCTATACAAACCAACTTTCTGGATCCATCCCCCAAGATGTTGGAATGCTAAGGTCTCTAATTCACCTTGATTTGTCAACAAACAATCTCATTGGTTCAATCCCTGCTTCTATAGGGAACTTGGCCAACTTGACCGCTCTACACCTTGAAAGAAATCAACTTTCAGGATCTATCCCCTAAGATGTCGCCTATACGGTTGTTAACCGCTCCCTCCTTCTCCATCTCTCTATCTTTCTCTCTCCTAAACACCTACTACACCACATCTCTGCCTTTAGATCTAGACTCCGTCGCATTAGATCTGGACTCCGTCAGTACCTCATATCTAGTTGCTTTGCCTCTTCACTGTGGTGGATTTGACGTGAGATTTGGAACCCAAGCCAACCGATGATAGTGGTCGATGGGCAAGTTGAGCTTCAGAGAGAGGGCGGTGGATGGTGGGGGAAAGTTGGTCTTAGCTATGGAACCTCTGCGGGATCTCGTAGTGTCGTTGTAGGCCAATGCAGCTTCTTCGGGAGTGTCGCCTCTACCTTCTCATAGTCGTGGTTGCTTAGTTTAATTTAAATTAATTTTTATGTTTTTTTGTTTTTGGATATGATGATTTATGAATGAAGAGCTAACGATTTTATAGTAGTGATTTGTAAGAGAGGTTCGACGTGGGAATGGTTCAATGGAGGGTTCATCATCGCCGTCGACGGTTGTAGAGTTGCGATCAAAGCTGAGTGCGTTTGGTGGGACTCAAAACACTCCATAGATAGGACTTCGTATTTCTTCTAGTTGGAAGAATTTGTGCTCTTTGTCATTTTCTCGATCTCTTTCTCTCAATCACTCTTTTTTGTGTCTGAGTTAGCTAGCATGCATTTGCTTTGATCTCTATGTGTGTGAAAAAGATAAGAAAGAGGTTTGTGCTTGATTTGTTTGATTCAGTCTAAAAGCATGTCCTTATATCTGTGTGCATGTTCAACAGATAGAAAAAAAATAAGTCGAACAAATTCAATAGATAAGAAAATATTTAATCTGTGCTTTTTTTCTTTGATTTGTTTGAACAAATAGAAAAAATAGGTTATAAAAATTCAACAGATAAAAAAATATTTGAATAGTTCGCTAAAAAAATTGAACAGATCATTGCCTTGGTAAGGGAAAATTTTAATAGATAGAAAAATTTCAATAGATAAGAGGAAAAAATTATACAGATAGTCAAAAAAAGTCTACAAATAAAAAAAAAAAGTTAACAGATAAATTAAGAGGTGAAATTGGAAACAAAATGTCATTCAAAACCAATAAAATGACTTTACACCAAACTATTTTATAAAGAATGGACCTCTTACCAATAAAAAATATCTACTGGACCTAATGCCTTATACCCTCTTTAAATTAGATTTATCACCAATTTTCTCCTTAAAAAATAGGAAAAATATATATATATATATATATATGTGCAATTCAAGTTTAACTCTCGGATTGAGCAGACAACTTCGGATTATAATTTGAGTTTGGGCAAGCTTGGGTAGCTCTCAGCATAACTTGGGCTGAGTTTGGATAATTTTTCAATCCATCTAAACTCACCCGAATTACACCCTTAACTAAAAGAAAAATTAGTGTAATTATGTTTAATTTATGAGATTAACTGTGTTTTTTTTTAAAATCTCATGGAAGGTGAGTGCAAATTACCCTAAAAAACTATTCATAATTTCAGATTATTTTTAAAACAATTTTAGGGTTCGAATTTCATTGTTCAAATTTTTTATTTTTTGCTCCCTCCATCCCAAAATATTAGTCCCTTATTCCATTTTTTATTGTCTCAAAATATTAGTCCCTCTTCAAAAATCAAATACAAAAATAATATAAATTTCCTATTTTACCCTTCTTTTAAATTAATAAACAATATAAAAAGTACAATTATGACATTAATTTTTCCAAAAAATGTACTATCAAAAGGATAATTTTGGAAAATCAATTTTTTTCAAATATAATAATTGTATTACTAAAAAAAATTAAATTCTCTAAAAGAGACTATTATTTTAAAACAGAGGGAATATTTTTTTAATTTTATACACACAAATTTACCGGAACTTGGGTCAAGAAATTTGTAGTAATGAGATGCTGCGGACTGACGTCATTGGGGCCCTCGTAGTCAATTTTTCGAACTTTAATAAATTACGGAGCGCTCAGGGCGGAGGATTTTTTTTTTTGAAATTGACAAGTTATTCGCTGTCCTTTTCGATATAGCGGATGGTGGGTAGGAGTGTACCTGGTTGGGTTGGAATGGTTTGCAAGTAAAATTATAAATTAAATAGTAAATTATTAGATTTTAGATTGATAAAATTATGATTTGAGCGATTTTAAATGAATTGACATATTGAAAAATATTGTAACTAATTATTAAATATTTGCATAATATATAATATTAATTTGTATGATATTTTTCATATATATAAGACAAACTAATTTTACATAATATATTTTATATATATAACTACTAATTTATAACATATTTCACATCTTAAATATCTCTCATACTCATTTTTACTTTAATATTTTATTAGAGATTAAAAAATATATATGTATTAATTATAACAGAGCGGAGTAGTTTCGAAAACGAATTATAAATTTTAAAATTTAATTCGCGGTTAGCGAATAGAGCGATACAGATTGATACGGATCAATACTCTTGTAGCGGATTGGACTGTATTTACACAATCCTAAGGGTGGGAGTGGCACTAAAATTGCAGAAGAGTGGTCAAAACTCGTCAATAGGTCTTTTTTTTTTTTTTTTTACATCAAAAAAAAAAAAAAAAGGCTCCGTGGAGCAATCATAGCATTCGTGAGCCTTGGTCCCAAGATAATCAATTATCAGCCAAATTTAACGTAATTCAAAGGAAATTACCCATTATTGGGATAAGCGGGGAATGTATAAATCTCCAGCACAGGAGGTAGAGTCACAAACAGAGCACAGTATGGTTAGTTTTCCCAAATAAATGGGACGCTAGCTGTGCTTCCCAAGAATCAAGCCCTACTTACCTATGTAGAAGGGTAGCGCATTTTCATGTCGCCACCACCACCCTCGATGGTATCAACAAGTTGTTGAATCACTTCAATGTGTCATTAAAGGTCAATCCACCAACGACCGATAGCCAGAAGATTGTAGTGGTAGGGGCAACTAGCAGTGAGTGGCAACTAAACGTGGTTAAAGGAGAAGAAATTGAAAATTTATTTTGAAAATAAATGACTTTTTTATTTTCATTTTCAATTTTTTTTTTATAAAATAGAATCTAATTTTATGAAAATGAAAACATAAAAACAAAGATATATCGAAATAATTTATTTTTAAAATATAAAAAATAAAAACTAAAAATGAAAGTATAATGAACGACCAAAAAAAAGTGTTCTTGCCCATGTGTCATGATTTACTACCCTTTCTACATGCCAAATGAGAAAGACTTAGCAGAATATCAAACAAATAACGATTGATGTGTGTGTGACCTAAGCAATTCATGAAAAAAGTTAGAAACTTGCTGAGAGGGTAATTTTTGGGAAAAATTGGGCCGAGCTTCGAGTTGGGTTTTGAGGCCCAAAACGCAGCGGGCAAGGTTACTCCGGCCTTAGGGAAACAAAATTACTTCGGCCCTTGGAGGTGAGTTTACTCCGGCTCAAGAAGAGATAGTTACTTCGGCCCAAGGAGGAGTAAAGCTACTCCGGTCCAGAGACAACTCGGAGTTATGCCGGTCTCAGAGTTAGTCCGGTCGTCACGTACTATGGTTAGGTCGGTCAAAACTTGTTACTGGGAAGGTTGACCTAAGCACACCAAGGTTGAACAAGGCAGCCGAAGTAATGAGTTAGAGGAGAAGACCGAGCTAAGGATAGTTCGGCCTTCTATGTGGCTTATTTGAATAAAAATGAACGATAAATATTATTTGAAAATTAAACCATCTATTTTTTGAGAAACAAATACAATAAAATAACATAACTATGGTTATTGGATCAACTTCATTGTTTTTTGTGATAACAGTTTCAACAATATTACATCCCTCTAATTTATTACTTGTAAATGACCCATAATGATGTGGTATTGAGGTTACACCCCACATAATGGGAAGTTTGACAAATCAAAATTTGACACTTGTTAGACACATTATTAGCAGTATAGATCCACGAGCCTCTTGATGGACCATAGATGCGAACCGGTCAACCGCTATTTGAGAGAAGATAAGTAGTTCTTCTATCATTCAAGGGGTGATAAATTAGGTGTCTCAAGTATTTTTCTAACACTTTTCAACAGCCTCCTAAAAGAAATGCTTGAGACAACTAATTTATCATGCCTAATGATGTATCTGACAATTGTCAAATTTTGATTTATCAAATATTTCATCACATGGGTTTTAACCTTAATGCCACATCATTAGAGGTTATTTAGGGGTGATAAATTAGAGGGATGTAATATTATTGCTCCTAAAATTGTTGGAACAATATTTCTAGGAATATGTTTGGTTTTAATTTCAGAATTAGTTTTATGAAAAAAATAAAAATTAGTTTGATAGAAATATGTTTGGTTTTAATTTTAGAATTAGTTTTATGAAGCAATAAAAATTAGTTTGATAAAAGTAAACAATAAAACGATATCTTTAAATTTTTTTAATTATTTTCATTCCAAAATAAAGGTAACACTACATGAAAATGAGTGTTTTATTATTTTTACTTATTTCATTAAATTAATTTTTCTTTTGTTTTTTTTTAAATAAAGAGGGATTTATTTATAAATCCTGTTTAGAATAGTTCTAACGTAATAAGTTCGCAAACTATTCTTGTAACCTAGTTAATCCTATTTATTTAGACTTTTATTCCAAAAAATAGATTAGAAAAATAAAAATAAAAAATATTGGACAATGTTGTGTCTTTTTTTTTTTTAATAACTCAATATCTGATCTAATAGACTAACTAATTTGGGAAATCAATCCTACCATTCGCTAATTAGGAGTTCAATTAAAACCAGGGAAAACTTCATATAGATTAATCTCAAAAAATTATTTGCAAATAAAAGATTTTAAACCTGAAACCAACTCTAAACCTTAATCACCAAGTCAACCCATTCGGTTTCATTCAACGTTGTTTGGGACCACTGAACCATTTCAATCACTTTTCAACATTAATCTGCCCCGCACTTGGGGCAATAAACTAGTACTTAGATGCTGAGTTTATTTTTTTGGGTCTGGGGATTACTATTTTTGAAAAATATTAAAATATTCAAAAATAAAATAAAATTATAAGAAAATTTACTTATAAATCTCATCTAAGAAATGATGATTTATTTAGTTCAAAGAAGTTCTTACAGACTAATTACTCCCATTAATTTTGAATAGGAAGATTTAATATATTATTTGAAAATTAGATTTACGATTACACATTTACTTCTATTATGTTTCTTCTTCTTCTTTTTATTTTTTTATTTTATTTTATTTTATTTTTATTTTTTTCTCTACTAGAAAGCTATGATACACAACCTATGAGAATCAAATTTGGGATAAATTTTTACTCTAAAATATTTTTTATTTGGAATGTGAGATTTTTCAAACATTTCAAAATGAGTACAAAAATGACTTGAAATGTGGAATTATTTAAACATTTCAAAAGGAGTACACAAACTCCTTAGTAAGATTATAGCAAATGTATAATTAAACAGTAACACTCCAATGTAACACTCAAACATAACACTCCAATGTAACACTAAAAAAAAAACTTCTTAATGTACTTTTTCTAAACCTAACACTTGAATATAACACACAAAAATACTCTTTAGTGTACGTTTTGTCAAATGTAATACTCCAATGTATCACTCTAAAAAAAAAGATGTGGAATTTTTCAAATCATTCTAAAAGGATGTGAGATTCTTCAAACCATTTCACAAAGAGTACAAAAATTCCTTTATAAGTTTTGAGCAAATGTATAATTTTAAATTGTGAGTGTTACGTTTGAAAAAAGTATATTAAATTTTTTTTTAGTGTTTTTTGTGTGTATTATATT